TTTTCACAGATATTTACCTTTGACTTAAGCTAAACACACTTCTCAGTATCTCAGAGTTAATGGAAACAGTCGACGAGTTAATAAAGGTGCTATATATTTTTATGTTATTATTTTAACAATGATGCCATTCAAATGAGGTAAAAATTTAAAATTCAATTAAATTTTATTTTATTTCATTTATTTTTATACGACACAAAAGATTATTTCGAGAATATGTTGTGAAGGTTATTTTTATAATAATCCTTCGATGGTTACTTACTCAAAAGTCAACTGTTTTTTCTGTAACTCGATATTTACTAAATCTCTTGATCTCATCACATATTAATGGCTTGAGTTGTAGTCAAAGTTGAAGAAAGATTTTGACAAGAAATAAAACTAAATTATTTTATGTATCAAAAATATTTCTTTGCATTGTTTTAAGACATTCAAAAGAATCTTCACTTAAGCCCTAGTACGAGTATATTATTACTCGTAATAATATACACGTATACACCCAGCAGAATGTATTCTAATCTGATCATTTTGTAAGAGAAATTTCATGCGGTAAAGACGATGTGAAAACCAATATGTGGTATGATTGAACCAAAATGATGATTCAAGTAAGTATATTATGACCTAACATTTAGTTAAAATCTGGTTAAATTAACTAACAACACTTTTCGATAATCCATTATTTGTTTTAGTAGAAGTATTAGCTTTATTTTTACTTCATTTCAAATTTGTTTTATTACATAGAAATAAACAACAATTATATTATATATACTAGCTGACCGGCGAACTTCGTGTCACTCACTCGTATATATTTTTAATTAAAATTTTTTTTTATTTTTATTTTATATTTTTTTATAATATATATAATATTTTTATAATATTTTTTTATAACAAAAATTTGCAAAAACCTTCCCAGGGATATACCTAATAATTTCCAAAATTTTCACGGTTTGGATGGTTTTTGAATCCAACGAGTACAAACAGTCAGACAGACAGACAACATTCATTTTTATATATTTAGATGAAGCATTTTCTTAGTCAGTTATTACTGCCGACCAGCAACATCCTCTGTTCCAACCCTCACTTCTTTCGTCAAGTAAATAGGAATGGAATACGTACATAGAAGTGAATCGACAATTCGTGAGTTAATATCTCTAAGCTATAACATGGTATAGAGTAAAGTTCAGTCCGCCCTGTCGAGTTTCCTACAATACATAATTACCGATACTCAAAGAGAAAACACCGAAGAACCTGTTGTATTAATACTAAAGCTTTTTCAGATTACAAGAAAAATTCGGTAACAATTGCACTGAATACATTTACAAAATATTATACTATCAATTTTTCAAGTCTAGCAATATATGGGAACTTCAGCTGTTTTGACACCCATTCAACAAGCAAAACTTTTGCCTCGTAGTATTTCAAAAGATATATATTCGGAAATTTCCAAAAAAGCTATGACTTCAATTCAATAATATTTGAATATATAATTAATAATTTGATATAATAATAATAATAATATAATTTGACTTTATACAGATTATACTATTTACTAAGCAAAACGTGAAAAAAACAAAATTTTAATAAAACTATTAGCAAATTGTGCTTCATACAAGCACTCTACAAAGGTTCTCCATCTATTATGCTATAAATAACAATGCTAAGTATTTGTTTTAATTGAAATTAAAGTTAATATAAAATACAATAATAGAAATCATAATAATTTGTTTAATGCAGACCCAGCATTTTAAATTAAATTTCTTAAGCCAATATATATTTATGATAGGGGACTGTTATAAATTTAATATTGTTTATTGAATGAAATTATAAATAAAGTAGACCTAATGTTGTGCTGAAAAATGTTTGAAAATGTATGTTAGAGATATGAAAATATGTTGTTATGGAAAATTTTGACTCAATGTTTTCGATTCAAAAATAATACAGTCGTGTTAGTCTATTTTTGTAACAGTGTTTTTCTTCCTCCAAAAGCAAACATATATCACAATACAAAATTTTATTTTAATCAGTGTTTTGAAAATAAAGTTAGTTGTTTGAGAAAAATAAGTCTAACTTATAAATTAATGATCGGACAGTTATTTAATGATAATAAAAAGCTTGTAAAAGTAATTATTTCAACACTTGGATATAGAAGACACCATCTAGATCGAATATTTTTCTAGCAGTACCTTCTGCTCAAAAAAGATTTTGTTGTGTGTTAACTACTCCTTAAGTAATAGACCTTTTTCAATAATAGAGTAATAGACCTTTCTTGACATATGGTACAAATTTGAGCGCCATCTGTCAATTAGTTTGTTTACAGCAGCTGTTAATATGAGACTACCTCAAGTACATTTAGCGATTTTTACTATGGAAAATTCTTGTTGTACGCGATTTTTTGACCAAACACGGCACCACTGTCATCACTCAGGCATCATATTCGCCAGATCTAGATCCATGCGACCTTTTCCTGTTCCCGAACTCAAATTGCTCCTTTGTGGTAAGCGTTTTAAGTCGATTGAAGCGGTAAAAGAGAATTCCCCGAATGATTTAAGTGTATGAAGTGTATGAAAAATTGGGTTAAGCGTTGGCATACGTGTATCGCTTCAGAAGGAGCATATTTTGAAGGAGATAAAATAAATTTGGAATAAAATTAAATTTGTTTGTTTTATTTACAAAATCCGGGTACTTTTTAAGCTGGAGGTATACTCGTGTATGTCTACGCATAAGATTATTTTAAAATATCGCAAAAGAAATTTTTTTCCTCAAACATATTATCTGTTAGTTTTGACCAGTTGTGATAATATTAACAATTAAGCACAAATGATCAACTGTGAGCGCAATGCTCCGCTTCATTAGGAGACGGTACCCTGTTTATTTCCAATTCTAGTTCTTTAACAAATCAGGCAAATTTCAAACATCAGATTTGTTGAAATTGATATTAACAAACTCTAGAAGTTTTAAAACTGCAAGGATTAAATTTAACCGTACTTAAAACCATATAATCAGTTGGTAGCGAGTGTGTGCTAACAAAATGTCAGAAGATTTAAAGGAAAGGATCAAATATTTAGAAAATATATAATATTTTAAATTTATTTTTCGACCTATTTATTAAAATGATTTTTTATATATTTTTAATCAGCTTGTAGATCCCTTCTTGTTAAATAATTAAGCGTTTAATATTTTTTATTATAGTCAATTTTCGACTCTCCTTAAGAGTCATCATCAGGCTTACGATACGTCCTCCTCTTTGTTCTATCGTCTATATTGTACAGTACGTAATCTTGATGATGACTCTCAAGGAGAGTCGAAATATAGAATATAATAAAATATATTAAACGTTTAAATATTTAGAAAATTTTTAAATAGTCAAAAAGATATTTGGAAATTAAACAGGATGTACTCTTGTTGTGTTCGTGTCCAAAATCATTTTAAATAACAAATACTAGAGCATTTCCTCATCTCTTCAATTTTGTTATTTCATATCTCATGAGAAACACAACATATATTATGAATGAATAATAACCCTAAATTAGATTACTATATTATAAAAATATAAAAATATATCTCACAGTTCTCTAGACATAATATTTATTGAAATATTTTTACTCACACTTTTTGGCTTTTACTGATGCTTCTATTTGCCTCTATTAACGTTAAAATTTTTTAATCAAATTGTGCAAAATAGACACATAAACATGCCACGGTCGCTGCTTCTCAACCAAAAACTAACAACAACAATAAACTCAGATGCAAATATGCAGTCGCTATATGGCCACACAGCCACAAACACGCCGCACACAAACACAATTGGTGTTCATTTTCGCGTTTATTATTATATTATTTCACAGCCTCTGTGTATGTCACGTACCCTGCACGTCCCCAATGTGTGCGTGACTCGGCATATGTGCAAATATGTGCAAATATGAGCTTCGCTGTGTTTATTTGAAAACTGAAATTTGTGGCTTTTTGCTTGAGGAGTTGCCTGTAAGCTTGCTTAGCGGAAAATTTCTATTTGCACACATCACAGCTTCGCATATATTACTACCACATGCGAGCACTTAGAGACACTCAGCCCTGCACACACACACACACACACACACGCAACACACACAGTTGCGTATGTGTGCAAAAATTGTTGCTCGAATAAGTTTTTGCACTTTTGCATATCGGATATGAAAATAATTGTAAATGGCGGTGAGAATTACAAAACAAGTTTTTGAAAGTAGCAAAGGTGTTGTTGCCAGTTGAGTTTTTAACCCATAAATGCTTTTGTAGTAAATATCGTTATGCTTTGTCTGCTTGCAAAACTGCAAATTGTGTAATTTTTGCTTAAAAACATTTTAAAAGAATTAGAAAAATCCATCGAAAAGGATATTAAAAGTGTATAAAACGTAATTAAAAGAGATTTAAGGGTTATGAATCAAGCAAAATAAGAGTATTTTCGATTTTTATTTTAATTAGTATATAAATAATTATGAAAAGAGTTCCTACTACTAACAGGTAGGTGGGTAGTTTGAAGTAGCGGCGTTGTTTCCAAATACTCCACTTAATCTGAAATGATGGCCCCTTATGGCACCATAGGAATAGCATTGGTACATAAAGAGAACTAAATTAGTACACAACCAACGCCGAAAATGGTAACGACTCCCTTATTACTTAAAGAAAAACCAACCTGACAGTTCTATAAACTTGACCAGATCCCTAACATTACAGGTTGACAGCTGAATCAGATCGGTGAGAAAAGGGGATTCGAAAATTTTTAATCTTCTTCTAACTAAAGAAGGACACTGACATATAAAATGGAGCACGGTCTTCTCCCTATCCTCAGAAACAGAATCTCGAGAAAAATCATTATAGGGTAGACCCAGTCTCATATCATACCTTCCTATTTCACAGTGTC